CTGGATATCATCTCGTCAAAGAAATCTTTGTCCTTTCACTTTCTAGATTACACAACCCTTAACTCCAGCACTTCACCCTCCTATTTTTAGGATAGTCCTCCCTAATTCTTTCAGGACTTGGGGAATCTGGAGACTTATCACCTGCCCCGGCCATGAGGTGTCTGCAGGACCTCCTTAGCCTCCAATTCTGCTTCTCCTCTGTACTTGAAGAACCTCTTCTTATACTTTCAGAATGCCATGTGCACAGACTTGGTTACAACAAGCCCAAACATGGTTTCCCATCTTGACCAGTCTCTGTGGCTAATATCAGGGAAAGTCTCTGTGGATGCCTCCTCCCAACCCTAGGACAAGTGTGCCCCCCAGGGCAGTCGAGTGTCAGGCTGGTTCCAAGGCTGAGCCATCAATGGGTCAGGAGGAGCCTTGTGGCAAGGAGCCTTGGGGATGCAGAGCAGCAGCTAGAGGGAAAGAGTGGCCATGGTGGGCAGGACACTGAGAGGAGATAGTATAAATATTTTTAGGAATATGGCATAATATGGAAGAAATGTGTCCACTTGACACAGAGAAGGCTGAAATACCAAACAGCTCTCAGCTAAATTTAGCAGAAGTGCTTTTACTTAAGAACTGCGTAGGCAAAGGCTTCATAATACAGAAGATGTGCCCAGGGAACCTGATCAGCCGCAGCCACCAGTGTGCCATGTCGTGGCAGGGCTGAGCCCTGGCCATTTGACCACAGGGGTGAATGGGTTGGGGCCGCACAGTGCTGGAGACATAGAGGTTCGACTGCTTTGTCCCAGCTAACCCTGACTCAAGGTCCCCAATTCTCTGCTTTTTAAAAATTCAGTGTCCGAGGTGATTCTTCAATTTCCCAATGCAGAATTATGCTCCCCAAGGTTAGGGGAGTGTTTACATGTTCTTTCCAACACCTCAGTTCAGGGCACAAGGTCAGGGAGGAGCTCTGAAAAAGCTGAGCAGCAGCCTGAGCCATTAGCAGGGGCTTTCCGGTGTCTAGGTCTGACCTGGGGATTTTTCAAACTTACTTGGCTATTGGACACTTGGCCTTGAAGGCCAACACCAAGGCTTCTGAACTGTTAGCATCTTGTGGTGAGGTAGGAGTCTCAGCTCCCACTGGCTGGAAATATTGGACCTGCATGGTGCATAGGTGGGGTGTGCATGCAGCCTGAGCTCTGCCTGGCAGAAGGAGCGACTTCCACCTTGCACCAGCCATTCCATCTGTTCCCTACTTCACAGCCTGTGGTCACCTGTGGTGGCTCCTGATCTGTCTTCTACACCTATTCCCAGCCTCAACCGTGGACACCACCCAGTAGGGCTAGTGCATGGCACTGAGGACCTTCTTTACATGGGATCCTGGTCCGCCCCAGTCCGGGAACTGGTTTGGGAGGACACAAACCAGGACAGGTGGGTATGGAAGCTGATGAGAGAGCCCAACCAGCTGGCTGGCTCGTGGAAGCTGTGGGAACCACAAGTCGAGGCCTGGACCATGACGCCCCTGGGTCCCTGCACCTTCTCTTGTTGTGGGGACTCTGGAAATTCACTGTGCTTTGCCTTTGGATTCCTTTGTATGCAGCCAAGCCTGTGGCTTTAGTGGAGAGCACTTTTTCCCTGGAATTTAATTAATTTGGAAGCCAATAAGAATTACACACACAACACCCAAGGCAGAATTTGGCTGTTGGTGAGCAGGAAATTCAATTAAATCCATAGTCCTGGGAGAAAACTGAGCAGCTGATGAGACAGAGTGGAGGGGACTCTGAAGAGCATGCGCTGCCACACGTGTCCAGCCCTGTGGTAGGTAGCATCATTCCATCTCAACATCAGTCCTCAAAACACCCAAGTGTCCAAAGTTTTCAGCAGAGGCTGCCATCGGGAGCCTACTTATTTGGGTTTTGTGTCATAATTTTTATTGCTTTTTCAGATTAAAATATTTTGACTTTCTAATCCGTTATTAGGGAATATGCATTTATGGTATTTGTAGGGCCTCTGAAATGTTTAATTAAGAAGAGAAACAGTTCTTCAAGGGAACTGGTGCTGGACCCTTGCCCTGGTGGGCCACAGAGACGGTACGTGCAGGAACTTGCACCTGGTTCTGATGAAGGGAATCAAGGACAAGGGGTGTGCTCTACAGTGAGCACACCCTACCCCCGCTGGCGTTCTCTTGTACCCAAACCTGTGTATAACCCCAGACCAGGTCAAAACAGAGGCTCCCAGAAGCCTCGGCACAGGAACGCAGCACGAGCATGTGCACAGGCATGCTAGGACAGCCCTGTTCAGAAGATAATGTGCGCATGCGCATCATACCTTCGCTGCCCACAAGAGAATGTGCGCATGTGGATAAGGCCCATGCCTCCCCAGGCTACACACAGTACTGAGTAGTCGCTGAGCACAAGTCATGGGCACGGCTGCAGGACTGCTTGGCACCTCTCAGTCTTGCCACTTCCCAAGTACAATAGCAGACCAGGGTCAGACACAAGGTGAAGCTCAGACGGGGAGCCTTGCATGGCAGGTTGTCCCTCCTGGACATGGAGTCCTCCCCCTGGAGCCTACAGAAGCCTCAAGATCCTGGTCACAGCATGGGAATCCACAGCCCCTAAGATAGTCTGGTAAGTCCAGGAGGGCCGGTCAGGGGGTCCCCGGGTCCCTGTCTACCATCCCTGCTTGGGTCAAAATCCAGGGGTCTCAGAACAGGGCCTAATGACCCTTCTTTCTAAAGAAATAGCTGTTTAGCTAAGTCAAAGACTTCTTCTCAGAGAGCCCACAGTATGGTCTCCTGATGTGAACATACTAAATTACTACAGAGCTAGTTATTTACAGTCTAGCCTGGGATCCTGGAATCTACAGGGCTGTGGGCTAACCTGAGAGTCCGGAATTGCTACAGGGTGGTGGGTTATCCTGGGAGCCTGGAATCTGCTCAGAATCTCCTATGAAAACATGATCTGAATTCAGAGTCAGTGACAGGGTTGACCTGGTCTCTGACCTGGGCTCTCCTTCATCCCCATTTCCTGCTGGGACAACTGAAGATGAAGCTTAGATGCCAAGCCTTGGCCCCAGGCAGTTGCCAGGCTCCTGCCAAAGGGACTTATATAGAGGCTCATGCCAGCCTGTTTGCATGGGCTCAGGTGGCTGTTATTTGTGGGATCCAATAAATACAAGAGAATAAACACTGAACACAGTAAGGGGCAGCACTGTCTGCCATCAGGATGATCCTGGAGAGAGCCTGTGTGAAAACAGGGTGTGACTACCTTTCCAAGTGAGTGGGGCAAGAAGGCCATCACAGGGACTTGGTGACGAGGGAAGGGATGGAAGATGATGGAAACTGAGACTCAAGACCTGCAGGACAGCAGAACTGGACAGTGAGGTGGTTTCATTTGCATTAAATTCTAAAGTCAGGGCTGCTCCTCTCCTGCCCATGTCTGCCTGGTTCAGTGGCCTGGGATGTGTGGGTGGAGTGTAGCAACACTAATTCCAGCATGCTCCCGTGATCACCAAGTGCAGATCACACAATGGCTCCACGTGCTTTCTATACCTCATGGTACGGGGCCACCAATGCTCACCCATGCTCTATGGATAACCAGAGGGCAGCAGCCTCTGGAAACATTAAACACTTGACACAGAAAGGCACAACAGACCAGGTGGGCTAAGCTCATGACACCTACTGAGGCTATTCCCTCCCACAAACCATCAGGGCTAAAAAAGTCGGCATCTTTCCAAGAGAGTCATTTTTACCACCAAGTGACATCACCTATAAGTCACCAAGCATGTGTAGTGTGGGGACGAGGAGGCCATGAGATTCCTTTCTCCCAATACTAGGACCCCTAGAAGGGTCGCTTGCAGGGTGGGGTGAGCCCCATCCTTTCCCTGTGTACATGGGGCACCGTGAGGGTCCCAGCCCCAATGCTCAGCTGGTCCCTCAATTATGCTGGACCTGCCTGCATCCTAGCAGGACCTAGGAGCATTGCCTGCTAACTAGCAGCATATTGGCCAAAACAGAGGTGTTTTCTTTCCTGGGGCTTTATTAATTTGGTGGGAAAATAATTGGCTTTGAATCTTAAATCCCAGTGAAGACAAGAAGGCTTGAATGAAGAGGGTGAGGAGGTGGGATGATCCCTAGAGGCCCCAGAGGCAGAAGGGCACCTGTGCCATGTGGGGTGAGCTGATGGCGGCTAAGGGGCAGGAGTGAGCGTTTCACCATATTTTGTGGGCTTGTGGAGGAATCTATGAGAGGTGAGTATTTCCTGAGGCCTCTAAAACCTCCTCTGTCTGCCCCACACTTGTGTGGCTGTGTGTCCATGCATACCTGACCACAGGTGTGTGAGAGGACGGAGGATGTGGCAGGGGGCAGTGGTCTGTCTGGCAGTAAAGGAGACCACGGTCCTACAGTGATGTAGGCTGGGGAAAGTGGTGCACACAAAGCTGGGCAGAGGTGCAGGCTGAGCGTGGACTTGCTCCACACAGGAATGTCCTTGACTTCTAAGAGCACATTCCCTCAGGAAGAGTCACAGCAGAAAGCCGAGTCAGCAGTGCTACAGCTCTGGCTGTGAGGGCTGCTGTCTGTGGGCTCTGTGTGCCTAATAAGCTACCAGTAGCACTTGCCTAGACGCTTCTCTGCTACAGCAGACCCAAGCTCTGATTGAAGGGCACTCAGTCTAGATCAAGTCCACCATGGGCTGAGGACTTCTCATCAGGCCAGACTGTGGTAAAGTCTTAGCTGGAACAAGGAAACCCATATGGCAGGAGGGTGGGCCGATCAGGACCAGGCAGGGAACCTACTGCTGGGGTCCCCATCACCCAGACACAGGTACAGAAAAGACAGCCTTCCGTGCCTCTGAATTGTGGAGCAGTCAGCAGATCCCAAATGCTGAGCAGCAGGGCTGAGACAGAGACCCTGAGAGCAAGCAGTCTCCTGCTACTCAGAGGAAAGGAACCTGTGCGTTCTCACAGGAACAGGAGGACACTGTTGGGCCTGTGTTGTCAAGAAGGGAACATACCTTGCCTTCGTCCTCGAGGTCATTGTAGCCACATGCGTCTATGAAATCTGGGAATGTCTCTGACCATCCATCACTTGTGCAGTTTTTGCTTATGTTTCCTGAAAGGAAAGTTTAAATGTTTTATCTACAAGTCTGTAGAAACTAGACTCAGGACTGATAACACGGCTGTGCAGAGGCCTGGCCATCCCGAAATAGTGCCTGTTCCAGCTCAGCAGGCCACAGCTGCCACTCAGAAGCCCTTCTTTGGCTTCCCATCTGCATCACCTGTCCACATCTGTCACATGGGCTCGCAAGTCAATAAAACAAGTTAAATTCTAACTGCTGTAAATCTGAATGTTTTTATTTTGGAGCAGAATGATTTTGAGATTCTTTCACCATGAGACACAGTTATGGCCAAGTCCAATCCCCATGGACCCTGCTACCCACTATGCCTGCTCTGTTCACTGCCCACTTTTTCCCATTCTTCCCCAGTTCCTGGTACTTGCTCCTTTCCCTTCAGCCCATCTCTCACCCTTCCCTGCCCAAGAAGCAACATATACCAACTGGAAGAAATAGGCTGTGGAGTTAAGGTTTAATTGCAAAAAAAAAAAAAAGGAGCTGTGATCTCATAATCCTACTGTTTGTACCTAAATCTAAAGTTCCATGTTAAGCTCAGAAATGCAGTGTCCCCTCTGTCTACAAAGAATGTGTCCTCAGAAACAGCCACACAAATAGATGATGCTCTCCACAGGTGCTGTAGGGGTAAGGAAAGAACAAGGGGACTGATACCTGAGCCTGCCAGGCCTAAGCACCTGCTTGAGTAGAGCCTCCACACTCCTCCCCAGAGCTGCTGCCTGCCCTGGGTTGCACCCACAAGTCCTAGGGCATCAGATTCAGCAAATATTCTCACATCGTCTCTATTTTCAGGGGAGGCAGACTTGGCAGGTGTTGCTGATCCCACTTTACAGATGGAAGAATAAGGTCCTGAAGGTTGGATGACTACTTAGTAGGAGATAGATTTTTCTGACTCCAGAGTTCTGACACTTCTACACCGTGGCTGCTTACCTGACCATGGCTTTGAGTAATCAGAAAAAACTGAGAGGAAGCTCATTCCATCACAGGAGCAATGTGTCAGTAGCTCCTGCCAGGCAAACTGCTGGGTGTAGCAGGACTGAGACCTGATTCCCCAGGCTGCATAGCCTCCCTGGAGGCCTGCTGGAGGTCTTCCAGATGTGTCTCACTCAGGCCACACCTGACAGGACTGGGCGGCTTCCTGATCCTATGCTAATAGGACTGGGATTTTTCAGAATATTTACATCCCAGCCACTGCTTGGGTGGGAGTTTGTAAAGTTCAGATTCTCTCAAGTGACTCAGGTCACTCAAGACTTGTAGATGGCCCATGGCACCGGCACAGGTATGACCTCAGCCTTGATCAGCTGCAGATGAGGAGCAAGGGTCCTTTCCCCATCCCAGTTTGTTTTCAAAGCTGTTTTAAAGTTCAACATTATTATTCTTCAAAGTTTCCACCCTTCAACATCCACCCAGGAAAAATAAGTTCTCCACAGTTCTGCAAAGCATCAAGCTTTCCTGTTTCCTGATGAATCTTCTATTCTCCAGTTTTACAGACAGACGTCCCCATGATATGAAAACCTGGATCACTCACAAAACCCAAATCCTCCTCTCAGGAATGAGGTGGGTGAGCGTCCTGTGCAGAGCAGGCCAGGCGCAGAAGAGGGGTCTGGGTGGTGTCCAAAACTGCAGATGCAGAAGCTGCAAACATCAGGCAATGTCCAAGGAGCTGGTGAGGTGGGGCTGAGGACAGCGGGGTCAGTGCAGCAACCAGCCACTGAATGGTGAGAGGGAAGCTCAGTCCCAGAGACTGCCCTCCTGCCAGTGGCACAGCTTCAGGGAGTTGCTCCTCTCCCTTCCCTCAGGGCCCAGGGGAAAGGGTTGGGGATGCAGCTCAGCAGTGCAGGGCCTGCCTAGCAAGCCAGAGACCCTAAGTTTAATTCCAGGAGCATTCTCTCGGGTTTATAGGAGACTCTCTCTGCTGAGGCCAGTGGAATCTTTTTCACCTTCTCTACTGCCCCCGAACCAGTTTTGGTGCTGACTTCCTAAGTCTGCGTCTCTGGTTCAGCCTCTCCCTTCACACCTCCCTGCTTAGCTGTGCAGGGTCAAGTGGATGGTGTCTCCCTGCTCCCCAATGGCAGTGCTCACCACAGCACAGCCCTGCTGCTCCCTGGCTGCACTTGCAGCAGGAACGGCTGCAAGGGACCACAGGAAGTGAGGCCCAGCTTCTGTGAGGGAAAACCAACTCTGAGATGCAAACTCCATGGGCCAGAAGCCAGCACACATGGCGTACCTGACTTGCTGTAGAAGTTGCTGAACACCACAGGGCAGGGCACAGTGACTGTCTCACCCAGTTCCGCAGGCTGCCAGCATGTGAGGTTGTCCCAGATGCCAGGGCAGGCTGGAAGGAGAAGCAGAGCGTGAGGCCACACAGTCAGGGAAGCTGCAGGGGCAGATGGCTCTGCTCAGATGCTCACAGGGAGGAAACCCAGCAGTCAGACAACTGTCCTGCAGGCTACTTCTGAGAAATGTGCACAGCAAGGTCACAGGAACACAGCAGCTTGGTGTGCTCATTTAATTAGTTTTCGAGAAACAACCAGGTCTGTGGTAGGAAATATTTGAGTAATTAAAGGGCACTGTGCACTTTTCAAAGTTTTATTTTAATTGACAAAAATAATTTTATCTGTTTATGGAATAAATGTGATATCTCTGTACATGCAGAGTGTGGAACGATCGAGTTAAGCTAAAGAGCATACACATCACTTCAAATACTTACCACTTCTTTGGGATAAGCACATTTAAATTTTACTCTTTTAGTATTTTGAAATATACTAAGTACAGTTGCCAGGTGGTGTGATAGTTCTCTAGGACATATTCCTCCTTTCCAACTGAAAGGTCACACTTTCAGCTTCTGGCCACCACCTCTCTCCTCTCTGCTTCTGTGATCAACTCTCACATTCCACATGAGTGTGATCCTGCTGTGCATCTCTTTCTGCTCCTAGCTATTTCATTTAGCATACCTCACCTAGCTACTTCACTTCAGATCCATCTAAGTTGCTGCAAAGGATGAGATTTCCATCTTTTTAATGGCTGAATAGTATTCCACTCTATATCTAGAACACATTTTTAATTGAACATTTTTGAATTTAAAAATTCAAAGTTATTTTTTCATGTCAAGGAATCATTACTTCTTACTGATCTGCACCCCACTGTGGTGGAAGGGGTACCTTTTGTGTCAAAGTCTTGGAGACGTGGTGGGGGTTGGAGAGTTAAGAGCCTAGTAAACTAATACTGGGTAAAGCAGAAGTCCTAAAACACACCCTAACTGTTCTAATGTAAAACACGGGTGTGGGCATTATGGTGGCTCACAATTTAGAGCTGAGTGGGCCTTGGCCTGGGCAGGGAGGTGCAGGTCCCTGCGGGAGCTGCCTTGGCAGGGCCAGCCCTACTGCTGTGAGAGGAGCCAAGGCGGGAGCCAGGAGGCACAGTGAGGGCTCTGTGCCTTCCAGCTGGATGCAGGGGAGGAATGACCCAGCTGGCACGGGCAGGACTGAGGCCCATCCTCTAGCCTCCACCCAAGAAGCTCATCCACTGAGCTCCTGCAGAGCCAAGGCGGTGCAGGAAGGCCCAGAGGTGCCAGGTGGCTGAGCTGGATGGAGGTGGAGCATCTGCCATCAGCGGCAGGGCTGGGACCACCTTCCTCCCACCCGACCAGGCTGAAGACCTTCCTTGTCGTTCGTATTAGTTACTTTCCTGTTGCTGGGATGCAAGGCACTTAAGGGAGGAGAGGTTTATTTAGCTTCATGAGTCCAGTCCATGGTTGGCTGGCTCCAAGGTAGAAACAGCATGGTGGAAGGGCCTGGCAGAGGACTCCTGGCAGCCAGAAAGCAGAGAGCAAAAGAAGCAGTGGGGACAAGAACTCCCCTTCCAGATCAGGCCCCCAGTGACCACCTTCCATCAGGCCCTGCCTCTTAACAGCACATTCAGCTACGGAACCTCACGATCCAATCACTTTGCAAACTCAAGAGACTTCGGGGGACATTTTAGATCTCGACCCTAATACCATTCTATGGTGATTTAAAGGCCTTGGTCAAAAAACACAGCCAAAGGACTGTGTTTTCTGCAGTCTCCACATTCTTGCCTCACATGAGCAGCCAGATGCCTCCTAAAGACACCATTTGAGTAAGACACCTCCCCAGGGGTCTCTGCTGCTGGAATGCAAACACCACTGGAGTCATATGCCCTGTATTTGAAGCCATGCCACAGGCCAAGTCCATCTTGGTGCACAAGGTGGAAACCACTTCATCGTCCAGATGGAGGAAGGGCACAGTATGAACATCACCTCACCATCCCCCTAGTTGTGCCCCCTCTGGATCTTTTAATGTGAGCAAGAAGATGGGAGGGACAAAGAGAGAGAGCTTGGAGAGTGACTCCTATTTGACTGTGGGAAGAAAAGTGCCTCAGGCCTCTGTCTGGACCAGCTCAGCTGAGCCAGCCACACTGGGGAGGCACAGTCAGGTCCAAGATCATTTATTATAAAGCATGATTTTTCTCCTTCCTAGGAGAAACCACAGCAAAGCACTCCTTGTACCCTGGCCTTTCCTAGTATAGCATTTGTGGTGGCCAGAAAAGAATGGCCGTCTGGCAGGATGTGGAGTGACACAGAGCTCCTCTCCAAGGCTGTCGTTCTCTCAGGTGCACCTGAGTCATGCTCCAGGAAGAAAAGCCAGGAGTGGGGCCAGGCTCACTGTTCTGCACCCTGAGCTCCTGAGGACAAAGCTCTGAAGAAAGTTTACCAGCGAGGCTCCAGGTTCCAGATGCTCCATCCAGGGCTATGGAAGAGCTGAGAGTAGCTGGACTTGGTCTCTGAGCTCCTGGGCTTGGTGCTGCCTCCTTGATCCATACTATTGGCCTGTTCTGAGGCCCTTCACTAGAGAACCCCTGGCCCTGCACTTCCCAGACCCACTGCTGTGTGACCCTCCAGGCCAGCTTGTTCCATGGGGTAACACTGTGAGGAGGTGCCGGGTGGCCCTCTCTGCCCAGTGGCACCCAGTGTCCAGCGGCCATCTCTGACCATTGCCTTCTCCCACTGTAGCCTCCCTGTTGATCTTCTCAGCTGGGGTGTCCCTTCCACAAGGGATGGCATCTCACAAGCCGCATCACTGTGCCTGCAGAGGTACCTGTGAGGTCTGCTTCTGAGCCCTGCTCAAGGCATCTGGTCCTGGCAGGGGACCTGCCCCCAACATGTGAGTTCTTTTTACAGAAGCAGGAGATCATCTATATGGACACCTCCTTCTTTCCCATTTAACAATATATCTCTTACATTTTCACAGGATTTGTGTAGAGTACCATCAGTTTAATGGCCACATAATATTCCACTGTCTGTGAGGTGTGATCATAATATACAGTGAATGTTTACATAACAATGTATTTCAATGACACTGCCATTGTGTGTCTGTACCTCTATGTTCTTGTACCTGTGTGAAGATCAGTCATGTGGGGCTGCACCTATGCAGGGCTTGCCTGTGTGGGGGTACACCTGTGTAGGGCTCACCTATGTGGGCCTGTACCTGTGTGGGGCTGCACAGGTGTGGAGCTCACAGGTGCAGGGCTCACCTTTATGAAGATCACCCATGCTGGCAGATGTCTGTCTCTTCTCCAGTAAGGTGAGGACTAGGCAAAGAAGTTTCTTTCTGGGATTCCTCTGAGTTCTACATTTTGAAGTAACCATCTTTTAGAAAAACTTATTATCTTCATTTTGGCCTAAAGCCATGATCCTCTATGCATGTCATTACTTAAAGAACTAAAAGCTGGACAGAATTGGAATCAAATTCGGAATAGTCCGTGTTGGCAAATGCTTTGTCCTCTGCAATACAGCTATTTGTTCTGACCTGAATTGTCCCCGGCAAGTGACTCCCGCCTGCCAGCCTCATGTAGCGCCAGCATCATTCATGCTCACAGAGGACGCTGCCTTCTCTTGGGCCCTTGTGGAACATGGGCCAGCCCCTCTTGCAAAGCCACGCCAACAGGTGTCTAGCACACTGAAGATCCCCTTATAGCCTGGAGCCCAGACCCAGCTGTGTGCCATGTTCACCCCAGCCCATAGGGGCCTCTGTGGTGAGATGTTAGTGTCTGGCAGTATTTCCATCACTACCTCATTGTGGCTTTCTGCTCAGAGACCCCTCAAGTGACACCATTCTTGGATACCTGGTGTCACTTGGACACTTGGTGCCATCGCTTCAGGACCAGCCACCTGAGCTGACCATGAACAGTGCAAAGGACTCTATGGGGCCTGGTTCCTGAGTGTGGGCAGACACTTGTCTCTGGGCAGCTGCCTGTCAGGAAGCCATGGCACAGAGGTCCCTGTGGGAACGTAGAGGAAGATGGATGTGATCGCCCAGGTTGAGATTCCATGGCCCTGAGAGGTGAGCATGGTAATAGGGCAGTAAACCCTCACCTGCACCTGGGCTCTTCTGCAAGATTCCCATCGCAATTTGCCTGCTCAGGTGGTCGACTAGCAAATACCCTGTTACGTTGAGTCCCATCAAATCCTAGTACGCTGAATGGAACAATGGCTATACAAATTCTGACACGTGAAGGATTTCTTTTCTTTTTGTTCTGAGGATGCATATTTACATTATTTGCCCTTAAAATATTTCCCAGTAAGACAAGGTGAAATACATCTATATATTAGCAAAGGTGAGTATGGTGCCAAATGCTGATTTAGAAAAGCTGCAATTAGGATGATGACAGTAATCACTACTGGTGGAAGCAGAGAAGGAAGCCTTTTGAGGGAAACGCCCAAAGCAATAACCTGTCAAGATGATGAGAGGAACACGCTCTGTAATGTGCAAAATGAGAATGTGCTCAGAGACCATCAGGGTAGCTGTAAGATGACCCCATGCTGGGAGTCTGGAGATGACTCGGGAGACAGACACAACTCAGGGTGTGATGATAGCCTGCCCCAGGACGCAAACCCTAAGCAGCAGGCTGTTCCTTCCCACTGATTTCACATGGCTTTTAGACAAGCTCCAGCCAAGCATCTTATAACTTGCAGTACTGAATACTCACATCTTCAACACACTCTCACAAGCCAGGACAGATGGAGCGACCCTCACCTTACTGCAGTTTCACTAGCCACTGTGTGAACTGAGTGACCTTCTCTTTATTGAGCTCCCATGAGCCACAGTGTGGACAGAGTGACAGTCACCTTATGGCCCTCCCACAGAGTGGTTGTCACCTCATGGCACTCCTTCCAGCTCTACGACAAAGGCTTTGCTGCCAGAAGGACAGCAGAAGCTAAGTGGTCAACACAGCTGTCAACTCGAGGTTTGCTGGTGGACACCTCTGGCTCGTGGACAAGCCCACATGAGGAACATGGAGGAAGAAGTTGGGGCAGTA